TGAGATCTAGAATTACCTTGGAGATGGGCCACTGGGCATGCCTGTGCAGTACTGTCTACATTAAATAAATGGAGATAGGAAGCTCTACTCACTGTGGGTGGTACCATTCCTAAAGCTGGGCTTCTGGACTGAATAAAAAGGAAGAAGTGAGCTGAGCCCAAGCATTCATTGTGTCTTCTTCCTGGCTGTGGATACAGAGTGACCAGCTGCCTCAAGCTCCTGCTACCAGGACGTTTTTACCATGATAGACTGTATCTTGAACTATGAGCTGTAACAAACCATTTCTTCATTAAGCTGCTTTCATCATGGTGTTTTATCACAGCAACAGAAAAGTAACTCAGAAAATGATTAGAACTTTAGTCTCCTTAAACTGCAGAGAAGCACATTTTCTGTTTGGAACAGGCTTCCTGAACTTCGGCAGAGCACATACTTTACTCAGTAAAACTGAGCCCCTAAAACTTTTTACATCCTCTACAAAAATCCAAGGGTCCTTTGGCATGGGTCCTCTGGTCTGGGTTCTTCATTTATTGCAGTAGCCTGAGACACTCCTCTCCTTCCTCGCCTCATTTCTGTTTTTGATGCAACAGTGATGTTTTCTGCTTGTGTCTTGGATATCTGGGCTATAACAACTCCCTTCCACATTCTCTATTCTTTCCCTAGTTCTTTCTTCCAATGAACATCAGAGCCCCCTTGCCTGAAGTCTCAAGGGATCAGCCTACTAGTACCACCCTGACATGATGGTGACAAGAACCTATCTGCCAGAGTCCTGCCTCAGGAGTTCCACTTCCAGGATGTTCTGTGGAATTTGTTCTTTCCCAGGTATCTGCTTGCCTCAATTCCTTCACTGACATTTCTGTTTAGCTAGCCCTTCCCCATCCTATCTAAAAGGACTGACTGTAGTTTTCTTCCCAGAGTTTACCACTCCTTCAACACTTAATTTCACTTACTGTATCCTCAAACACCTAGCAACTTGTGTGGTACAGGGAACAAGCTCAGTAATTCTCTTATGGCAAACTGTGCATACCACCACAGACAGGACATGGTGGATGCTCTCACACAGGGCCTAAGACTCCCTCCTGAGGAAAATTTGATAATAGAAACCATAGCATATATTACAAAGAAAAATAGGTCAGAAATACATGCAAGTGTTCAATGGATTTCTTTATCAGGCAAGCCTACTCTATACAAAGCTAGGAAGCTACTAAATAGTGACACTGATTTATGAGAGTCAGGTCGAGCATGTGCAGGTAATGGGTCCATGACCCAGGCCTATTGAGGACTTAATATCAGGATGATAATGGCCACCTAATGTACAGAAAAGTCTGCCACATGTGAGAGGGAACAGAGAGCTGTGTTCTCAGTATGGGAATGCCTGAAGGTCCGTTTTCTAGAAGTAACCCCACAGAGGAATTAACATTTTTAGATTTTACCTCTTTACCTAAAATTGTCTGTTTTAGTTACTTTTTGTTGCTGTGACAAAATACCAAGACCAAAATAGGTGTTTATTTTGGCTTATGGCTAAAAAGGGAGACTCCATAATGGCAGGGGACAACATGGCCAGGGCACAGAGCAGGAATCTGGCTGATCACACCTTTTTCCAGTCACAGGAAGCAGAAGCCAACTGGAAGTGGTACAAGGATATAAACCCTCAAATCCCACTCCCATGACATACTTCTTCCAGCAAGGCTGCACCACAGAAAGGTTCACAAACTCCCCAAACAATAGTTCCAACTAGTGACCTCACACTCAAATACTTGAGCCCACGTGAAACAATGCTCATTCAGAGCACCACATTGTCTCTCTCCCATTTGAAATTAAAGAAGTGAAACTATGATTGTCTTAAGCCTAGCTTGGTCATTCTGATTTTTAAAATTATTTTTTAATACTTATTATTCTTATTTTATGTATATGAGTGTGTTGCCTGCATGTGAGTAAGCGCACCCATGTCATGCAATTTCTGGGAGAGTCAGAAGGGGGCGTTGGATTCCCCTGGAACTAGAATCACAGACATTTGTTTGCCACCATGTGGGTGCTGGGAATCAAACCCAGGTCTTCTGTAAGAACAGTCAGTGCTCTTAACTGCTGAGCCATCTCTCCAGCCCCTTAAAATTGTTTTTCAAACTATTCCATTTGATCACATGAATTATTTTATAATAGTAAAGGAAAATATTACTCTGAATTAGATGGAGTAGACTGTCTTCCAATTCCTCCCCACTCTCTATGGCTCAGGATCTTAGAAATGCTGGAGGTAGCCAATGAAGAACTCTGAAGAGTGAATGATGGAGGGAATTTGCTTTGGAACTCAGAATAGACAGGACCCAGGATGAGTAGTGGGACCTCCACACTGTCCTCCAACAGAAGGAAGCAACCCAGGCTTGGTGCAACCAGGCCCAACTGAGCCAGAGATAACAGCCCAGATTGGTTCCTTCCTTACTTAGGTTGAACATGAATCCACCTACAGAAGCAGGTAAGAAAAGTCAACCAGAGAGATCTTCCTAAATCCCTACTGACGTGAGTTCTCTGTTTCCTCAGGAGTTCCCTCTCCAGCCTACAGACTGGCCACAAAAACACCTGCAAGGGGATACCACCCCAAGATCACCTGGCTGGGAAATACTCATCATCCCCTTTATGCACAGGGAGTACCTCAGAACAAGTGAGCAAATCAGAGTACACAGGGAGCACAGCTTTGAGCAAGGCCAGAACAGTGCTTCCATTTAATAAAGAAGACCCAACATCCAGGTCCAAGTTTAAGTAGATGTGAAAAGTTAGCAATGAGAACACTTTTCTATGAGGCTTCCACGTTATTCTTAATGAAATAAGACTGGGGGAGGGGAGATGAGATGAAAGAGAGAAGAGAAGCACAGAACTGCCTGAACCAGAGGACACTGAACTTCCTAGGTGAGCTGAGTCTCCCCCAGCTAGAGGTCCCTCCCTAGCCATTTAATGACCACACCCTGAGTGCATTGCTTCACACACACACACACACACTTGCTCAAGACATCCTTAGGACTGGAGAGATGGCTCAGTGGTTAAGATCACTGGTTGCTCTCACAGAGGAGCCAGGTTCAATTCCCAGCACCCACATGGTGGCTAACAACTGTCTGTAACTCTAGTTCCAGAGGATCAGATGCTCTGTTCTGACCTCCATGGCTACTGATTGCACAATATAGGTGCACTTTCATACATGCAGGCAATGCACTCATACACTTAAAATAAAAATAATAAAATGTTTTTTAAAAGACTTGACCTTGCTATACCTCATACTCTCCATAACTCTGTCATATACCAATACATCCTGGATTAAGTCTACTTTGTAAGTAAACTAACCTGACTATTGAAAAAGATACATGATTCCACTACTCTGTGGAGCAGTAAGGGTTGAATCAAACAGTGTTATACTATAGGTGAAACAAGGCTTGAAAGGACTAAAGGCAGAGGTGGCTACATGCAACTGGAATTTGAGATTTAATGCACTGATTTGAACACACAAGAGTTGTTCACTCTGAAGAGTGTGAACTGTCAGCTAATCCTTGGCACATGGAGAAAGGAACCAAAAATTTCTGATTGTGTACAACCCCTCACATATCTCTAAGAGAGTTCAGTGTCACTTCCTTCATCCATAGATTGGAAGGGACACCATCATCAATGGAAATCCCCACTACAGCTGTGCTTTGGAAAGTAATGATGATAGTAGGGGCTGCAGTAATAGAACCAAGTTCTTTTTTCCCAGTGGGCACAGAGGCTGAGGTCAGGGAAATCTTAGTCAAGATGGAAACTATCCAGGCTCCCTATGCAGTTCCCTGTGACTGCAGTGCTAGCAACTTGTCTCTTCATCTTTATAAGGCCCACAGGGTCACCCTGACCAGCCTAGTAAAGTGGATAGTCTCATATCTGGAGCTTGTACAAACAAGAAGAAATCGCGTGGTGAGACAAGAAGCCTAAGAGCAGGGAGGGTCCAGCCCTGCTCTTTTATAGCAACCTACTCTAGAGACAACTAGCAGGCATCCCACAAGAAATATGGTAATCCCTTCTTAAAATGTTTCCCCCATCACCTACCATGTCCCATTAGGTTCTGCTTCTAAACGTTTTCACCAAATGTGATGCATGCAACCACTGCTTTGAAGATGTCAAAGACGGCTTATAACTCCAATGGTGCCATGTACAAAGAGGAGAAATATTCTCATAAACTCTGCCAGTCTTGTAATAAGGAAGCAAGATGCCACTTCATAAATGCATACTCTTACTTATAGGAAAGCCACACCTGCCTTGAGGGCATCAGCAATGGAAAAAGTAAACTAAAAAGGTCTCCCATACTCCACTTGTTAGGGCTCTAAGCACCTTAAGCCTTTTTTAAATTAGATGCTCATCTAAGCAGAGCCCCTGGTGGACACCCTCATCTAATGGAATCTAACATTGACTGAGAGCTGAGGAGTGCCTCTTCCTTTGAGGCACACCCAGCATCCTGACAAACAAAGCAGGCAGACCTCAGCTGAGGCACAGGCTCCCTCTGGCTTTTTGCTGCCATTATCCCTGCTCAACATGGGGGACTGCACAAAAGAACCACATCTTTGTCAGCCGAACTGCTGGAATCCCACAGGGACAGAAGAGATGAGCATATTGATCAGGCTTTGCTGTAATTCATGGAGATAGCATGCATCATTTCAAACTGGAAAATTATTGTTCTAGACTGTTAAATATGTAAAATATTATTTTAAAGAGACTTACGGTCTTCTGCAAGTCAAATTTCTAGACTTTTAAATAGTAATTTTAAAACTCCAGAGCAAAATAAAAGTGGATAAAATGCAGTTTGACATAATCTAAACTACTAAAGCCTGAGAAAGGAATAATTTACAAAACCTCTTTCCAAGGAACACTTTATTTTTAAAATACACAAAATGTCTCCTTAGCAGTAGTGTATGTTCAAGGAGTATACAATTTGAATTCTGATTATTTTAATGTGAAAAGCAATTATCTAAAGAAAAATTGTAAGTAGTCTTAGGAGAAGTGACAATTAAAAGGCACAGCTATTTTGGGTAGGTTTGTCTTATATAGAATTGCAAAAGGTATTTTTAAAATACAAATATTTTCTAGTAGGGGAATCTTGATAAGTTAACTTGCATTTCTCATGTTTTTGCCCTCAGGGAGAAGACACTATGATTTCCCATCATCCACCTGAACAATAAATACTGTTACTGACAGAGCTCTGTTCCAGAGTATGCCATAATGAGTTTCTTTTCTTTCCAGAGGGTCTTGGGGAGGTCTTCTGACTGATTTTGCTGATGGAGCAGGTTTTCCTCAGTCTTCAAATGATGGGCAGCTATTAATTCCATCCCACCACAACATGAACAACAAGGAGATAGCACATCCCAATGGTGCAGGATACAGCCATCACTGGGAAACCCAACCTGAAAGACAAAGAGATAGTTATGGTGTCTGGTGTCTGGAGAAATCCAGGAGCTATTATCTCCTTATAATGATATATCACAAAAGAATATTGCCCCAAGATCTTTAGGTAGAGATGAGCTGATCTTTTATTCAGAGTGTGAATCTTTTGTACAAGGCCATTATTTCCATCTCTGGAGTTAGGGATACATAACTCATAGGTAGAAATAGCACTTGTCTAGCATGTGTGAGGATCTGGGTTCAATCCCCAGTACCATTACCCTCACTCCTCACCCCTCCCAAAATCTCTTGATGTTTTCTTGGCTGTGCCAAGTAGCAAATATCATTCTATGGAGCTTTCCCAAGTAAATGATATTTCCATAATCGCATGAAGTCTCTCTCACTTAAGTCAGGGGGACTTAAAATGTAGGACTGGGAGTCAGGGCTTTCTCTCACGTAAGGTAACAGACATCAGAGTTTTCACCTGCATTTGGTGAGGTGTGAACTGTGTGAGTAGGTATGTAACTATTTATGGAGGTTGTTATGAGGATCACATGAGTTCACACCTATAAATCCTTTGGAACAGGGTGTGATCACACAGTGAGCTCTCAACAAAGACTAGCCAAGGCACCACGGAGGGAACCTGGACTCCTACCTCCCCAGACTGTGCCAAACTCCACCTAGGGAGTCAGTGGAGGGCACGGTGGACCTGGACTTTCACCCCCATCTGATGACAAAGAGGTCTATGGCTCCTCTGGTTGGTTGACTCCAGAGAAATATTGCAAGAAGCAAGATCGAAAGAACCTTCTAGCTGCTGTAAGACTGTGTTCCCACAAAAACTGTGTTCGGCAGGCCAGTAGAGAAAATCGATGCTACTCTCCATCTGGTGGTTAGTGGAATTCCCACAGGAGTCAAAATGACCCCTGCTTAACAGACAAATGCCCCCCAGTGGGAGCATGGGTTCAGCAGGAAACCTGGAGTTCAAGTACGCCTACATCTTTCCTACCAGTGCAGTCAGGACCTTCTCAAACTGAAGATACAACACCCGCATGGTACTGACTACCAGGATGTTAAAAGATGCCATTCTGGTGATGTGGACCCTGATACCATCTGACGGATATTTCAAAGCATCCATCAAAAAAAAAAAAAAAAAAAAAAAAAAAAAAAACTATTCGACAATGATAAACACACTTGAAGCAAATGAGAAAAAAGAAAGCTTCAAAAAAGAATCAAATGACCAAATGGAAACTTCAGAACATAATTAGAACAGCCTCAATGGCAGTTCAACTGGATGGGCACAATAACTGAAGGAGAGACTCTGTGAACGTGAAGACATTTAGAAAACAGGACATATAAAATCACTCATACGAACGTCAGAGAAAAACTAGACTGAAAAAATGAAAACACAAACCCTCAAGGCTGCAACATGACAAAAGATCTAACTCTTGTCACTGGAAGGAGAAAGAGGAAAGGAGTGGAAAAAGTATTCAGGCAAATAATGGTTAAAACTTGACAAAAAGATGTAACTCTAAAGATTTAGGTGCTGAGTCCCAGAAAAGAGAGACCCCGCTCACTGAAATACATGCGAACAAATTAAATTTCTGAAGGCAATAACAGTCCTTAAAGTCATGAGTGAGAAATGACAGTGCACCTACAGGCAAAAATAGTGATTTTCTCATCAGAAACCACAGAGGTCGGCTAGAAATAGCACATTTTTCAATTGCTGAAAGATAAGTGCTACCAACCCAGACTTCTATATCTATCACAAACATCCTTCACAGATTAAGAAAACCTAAAAGGGCAGCAGATTTAAGTGTGCTGCTGGAAGGTCTTCAAACAGAAGGAAGATGGTGTCAGAAAGGACCTGAGCACCAAGGACGAGAAAAGCAAGAAGCTGATAAAGGCAATAAACTTTCTTCTCTTTGGTTTTCAAATGATGCTGGGTAGTTGAAGCAAAAAAAAAAAAGTTTCAAAATAGTTAGAAGAAAGGAGTTTAAATGTTCATGTGCTTAAAGTGGTAGATACACTAATATATAATATATATAATATATATTCACGAACACATAAATATGTTCACTTTTATGTGTCTACTAAAACAACAACAAAAGCTAAAAAGCAGGGGGCTGGAGAGATGTCTCTGTGGTAAAAATCAGTAGTAGAACACTTGTCTACCAGGCATATAGCCCTGGGTCCAATCTTCAGCACTGTCAGAAAAAGAAAACAAAAATAAAATATTATGACTTTGTCTGATGTGATTCTCAAGGAATACAAACAACCACTGTGGGAATCAGTATGGAAAACTCTTTTAAAAAATAAAAATAAGGGCTGGGCGTGGTGGCGCATGCCTTAATCCCAGCACTTGGGAGGCAGAGGCAGGTGGATCTTTGTGAGTTCAAGGCCAAGCCGGGTCTACATAGTGAGTTCCAGGACAGTTGGAGCTACAGGGAGACCCTGTCTCAAAAAGACAAAAATAAATAAATAAATAAAAAATAAAAATAAATAAATCTAGCACATAATCTGGTCATATCATTCCTTGGCATATCCTACTACAGAGATACTTGCACAGCCATGTTTGTTGCTGCTTTTTTCACAATAGCTAATAAATAAAAGCAACCCAAATGTTCCTCAGCTGACGAACGGACAATGAAAATGTGGGACATTTACACAATGGAGACCTACTCAGTGGTAAAGAAAATGAAATCATGAAATTCTCAGGTAAATGGATGGAACTAGAAGCTGTTATACTAAGCGAAGTGAAACAGACTCAAAAGTAAGCAACATATCTTCTCTCTCATTTGTGTATCTTAGCTCCAAATCCTTAGATATCAGTATAAATCTTGATGTAACCACAAGAGCCAGGCAAATGGAGGGAACCATGGGGGTAAAGGTGAAGAAGGAGCTCAAGAGAGGGGGATAGAGGAGACAGGTAAGTTATCCAGGAGGAAATAGGGAAAGGTGGCTAATTTAACTGGGGAGGGAGTAAGGAGGGTGATACAAGAGAAGCTCGGAGAGACAAATAGTGATATGAAAAACCAGAGGGAAATGTATTAGTTCAAAATCTTACTGAAAAATACACATGCAATAAATATACAAGGGCATGTGTACAGCTGAGGGCTATATAATAAAAATGCATAGGAATACTTAGGACAACTATGATGCAGATAGGCAAGCACTAAGACCTCAGGGAAGCAAGAGTCCTACATGCTCCTGACTGAGTGAAATGCCAGTAGCAGGTGTTGTGTGTATATTGGTCACTGGCAATCTATACAAAGAAATGTATCCAGAAACACTAAAGATATATCAAAATGAAGCTCCAAGAAGTGATACAGAACTCACCAGAAGGCAGTAAAAGAAGCAGAGGTACTAAGAGAAGCAAAAATAAAACAGCTCATAGGAGCATTGCGTATCATTAACTATGCTGAATATGAAATGTTGGTTTAAACAAGGATTAGGGGGGCTGGAGAGATGGCTCAGCAGAACACCAACTGCTCTTGCACAGGACCCAGGTTTAGATTCCCTCACATGGTGGCTAACAATCCACGGCTCCAGTTCCAGGGGATCCGATGCACTCTTCTGGCCTCCATTGGCATTGCATGACACAGATGTACTTACATATATGCAGGCAATACACTCATACACATAAAATAAGAAATAAACACAAGGGGGATTATAGAGTGGAGTTTATACAGCCCTGTATTCTATCTGTATGAAATTCGCTTCAACTATAGGCATGGATTGATTAAAAATATGACATGATGAGAGAATCCATGAAAATATTAGACAAGGAAGAGTGGCTGTATTGATATTTGTATTACATGAAGCATAATTCAGAGCAAAGAAAATTTACAATGAATACACAGAAACTGAAATTCAAAGTTCAACACCAGTTAAAGTCACTCCAAAGAAAATAAAATGCTTGATGTTAATACTTACAAGTAGTCATACTGTTTCTGGTTTAGCTTCACTTTGTGGGGAAAAAGGAACATTGCATATTTACAGAACTACTAATCTGCCAAGAGACCAGTGTAACCCTAAGCATCTATATGCCTAACAGAAGGCCTGAAAAATACATTAAACAAACACTGGCAGAACTAACAGGTGAAACTGGCAAATGTGCACATAGATTCCAGATTGACAAATACACAATTGTACATGAATACAGCCTTCCTTCACATTGACAATACAACTAGAAAGAAATCCAGCAAGGCTGGAACATGCAGTATCATCCACCACCTGGGTCTTCTTGGTATACAGGACATCATATCCAGTAAAATCGGGCTTCATGTTCTTTTCAGCATCCAAAAAACATTTACAAAGATAGAGACTGTCCTGAGCCATAAAAAAATCTACAGATTTATTTTTTTAATTTTTATTGAGTTTTTGTATATTTCATGCATAAAATCATCTTTATACCCCCTTCCCCTTTGGCACCTTTCCATAGCTCCCCACACACACTATATTCTGTTATTTGTGTTAAGGCTTGTCATGTAAAGTTAGTGTCCCCAGATGTCCCTCAGTACAAGTTCATCCACTGGGATTTAATCAGCCTATCTAGAGTCCCTCCCTTTAAGACATCAGCTCTTCTTCACTCAGCAGTAAGCAGCTGCCAATAATTCTTCGACTAAGATTACAACCTGCTGTTCATTTCCACAGTTCTGTGTGGGGTTTCTGTCTGCTTAGGGTTGCATGGGTCAGAACTGTGGAAATGAACAGCAGGCTGTAATCTTAGTAGGTTTGTATGAGAAGGGTCCCAGGTGCCGGTAGGACTGTTTCCTAATGGGCCTGTACCTCCTCAATGGCTCTTACAATCTTTCCACCCCTCTTCTGCAATGGTCCCTGAGCCCTGGGTGGGGATATTTTAATATAGGAGTCCTGTCCAAGGACCCACACTCTGCAGACTCTTATTCTCTGTGTTTTGGCCATTTGTGACCTTTTGCATTCCTGGCCCTCTGTTGTATGAGGAAACTTCATTGATGAGAGTTGAAAGATGCATTAATGCTCTCTTCATCTTTTGTTCTATGTT